TTCCTCCTAGCCTCTAAGAAAAAAGCCAGTATGTTGTATCCCATTGTGGAGAAGTGCAGGGCCCGGTTGCAATGTCTGTAAGGAGGATTCTCCGAAAGGTCGGGGCCGAGGGGGACCCTTGCTGAAGGCAGCAGCCCCTGCTTTGACTTTTCCAAAAAAGTCTGATCCCTTGGGTGTTTACTCAGACACGCCATTGCTTAAAGGACAGGATAGAAGCATGTGCTTTCTCAAGGATGCTTACCTGCTGAGAGTATCTGATAGTTAATTTTAGTTCAAGCTGTTATTCCAATAAAGACCGAAGGAGGCAGGCGAATGAGGCCACTTGGTGGCAAAAGCGGGTAGTCCCTTAGCCTCACAGAAACATGCCAGAGTAATCATTCATCTGCCATTCAGGGTCTGCAGGTCAGTCCTGGCACTCCATGTGTGGAGGGTGCTGGGTGGCATGGACCCCAGGTTGACCTTTAGGGGCTGAGAGCAGACTGTGGTCTACAGCCTCATTTCCCTAACTACAAGGAGCTGGATTCTGAGCACAACCAGTATACTTGGAAGAGGTCTCTGAACCCTGACTGGCATCCTGATTTTAGCCTAGAGAGATCATGAGCAAAGGATCCAGCAAAACTGTATCCGATACTCCTGACCCACAGAAATTGTACCTAATAATTGTGTGTTGCTTCCAGCAGCAAAATTCACAATCATGCAGCAATAGAAAACAAATACAGACTATGAAAAGAGAGAGAGAGAAAAAGAGAGAGAGAGAGAGAGAGAGAGAGAAAGAGAGAGAGAGAGAGAGAGAGAGAGAGAGAGAGAGAGAGAGAGAGAGAGAGAGAGGGAGAGAGAGAGGGAGAGATATTTAGGGATAGATCAAAAGATTTGTAAAATATAAGCTTATTTTAAGGAAAATAAAACAGAAAAAGTTGAAGCATAGGGTTTCCTGCAGTTTGTACTGAGGTTTTAAAGCCAGAAATCCCACCTCAGCCTTTGTCCACTAACCTAATAAATCATGTTTTTAAGTGAAATATTAATCTTCTTACATTGCTTTATCATCTATTTAGGCCAGAACCACCTTTGTTATTTATTATTTATATGTTTAATTTATGTACATGACCCATACAGAAGAATGATTTAAACTTGGAACGCTGTCCATGACATAAGTTGATTTTAATTTACTTTTGTTATATGATCATAAAAACAATTAAGTTCTAATACATAATCATATCTAGATCTTGGTCAAAATGTGATATATAAAACAGGCTAAAACTTTGAACACGTACTAGTCCTAAGATCTTGACTTTTATAAGTAGTACTGAAATATAGCTGATCATACTATGGACCTTGAATAGTTGGAGGAAAATGTTTAAGATCTTATAGCACCTCCTGTGATATAGACTGAGCTCATTAAGAATTGAGTTTAAGCCGGGACCGGTTTGGCTCAGTGGATAGAGCGTCGGCCTGTGGACTGAAGGGTCCCGGGTTTGATTCCGGGCAGGGGCATGTACCTTGGTTGTGGGCACATCCACAGTGGGGGCTGTGCAAGAGGCAGCTGATAGATGATTCTCTCTCATTGATGTTTCTAACTCTCTATCCCTCTCTCTTCCTCTCTCTAAAAAATCAATAAAATATATATTTAAAAAAAAAAAAAAGAATTGAGTTTAAGCACTTAGAGTTTCCTCGTTTATATGTCAAGTGAATGCTCACCTTATAAAACCAGGAAGTAACCTGGTCAGTTTTCTGTGTCAACTTGCTGGGCTATAGTCCCCAACTGTTCAACTGAAAACTCTTCTAGGTGTTGCTGTGAAGATATTTTGTAGATGTGACTACGGTCAATAATGAGCTGATTTTAAGTAAAGGAGGATATCCTGGATCATCTGGGTAGGCCTGATCCAATCAGGTAAAAGTCTTAAGGGCAGAATTGTGATTTTTCTGGAAAAGAATCCACTATGGGCTAAAGCTTCAGTTCATGCCTGTGAGTTCCAGACTTGCCTTCTGATGGCCTGCCCTACAAATGTTAGCATTGTTTCACCAACTCAGTTAGTAAGCCTATTTCTGGCAATAGATCCCAGAATGTATACACTCTACAGCCTCTGTTTGGCTGGTGGAACCTCACTAATAGATAACCTTTCTGCTTTGCACAGACAGTGGCTAAGGAAACTCTCATGGATGTGAACTCATTAGATGGATATTTTTATTTGTTTTAAAACCACCAAAGGCATGCTAATGAAGCAAATAAATAACAGTCTGAGCAGGCAAACAGGTCTACCATGTTGCTACTGAAAATCAGCAGCCCCAGTGATTCCTTCTTAGTTTTATAAATAAAAATTAAGATGCTATCAATATTTCTCCATAATAATTAGTGTTCAAAATAAATAGTGCTTAATAAATGTTCTATGTGTGTATGATTACTGCTGAATTTGTTTTCGCTTTGAATTATGCATATGCATGATATTATGAGATATTAAAAAAAAGCTAAGAGAAATGAGAGCTTCTGAGACAGAATATACTCTTTTATAAGGGCAAGCTTTAAATGGCATTGAGGTCATATCACCAGGGATCCAGTCATTTCTCTCAGCTCTTCAACAGCAAGGATTATGGGCTGACAGCTCATTATTGAAGTACTGAAACAGGAATAATTTTTTCTACTCTGATGGCAGGAGATACTGAAAGCCATACAATTATGGGGTCATATCTCTAAAGAATAAAGTAAAAATGTTACAAAAGAATAATAATGGGAAATGTTAATAAAAGCTATAACTATATATCTTACATATTAAATGAAAAAAATATATGTATATATTTATTTATTTCTGTATTAAAAAGAGCTATGACCCAGCTCTCATGGTTCAGTGGTTGAGAATAGATCTATGAACTAGGAGGTCACTGTTTGATTCCCTGTCAGGGCACAAGCCTGTATTGTGGGCTAGATCCCCAGTAGGGGGCATGCAGGAGGCAGCTGATCAGTGATTTTTCTCTGAGCATTGATGTTTCTAACTCTCTCTCCCTCTTTCTTTTTCTCTGAAATAAAAATGGGTAAAATACTGAGTTCATTCTTGTATTACTATTTATTAATGATCATATTATTTTCCATACCAAGAACTGTAAACCTACGTTTACCACAACCTGTACAAATTCTTTTGATTTTTTTTCTTGTATAATATGGCATGAAGACAGAGATGAAGAATAACCCAAAGTTCAAAGAAGATAATAAATTTGCATACCACATAGGAAGTGTGAGAGAATAAAGTGAAAATATTGTGCTTACTATGCATAATATTTATAAAAGATATATTGCCTCCAAAGACTATATGATACTATTCATATTTAAAACATGAAAAATGTAAAAAATAGTTTTATAATGATTTTAGATCTGTTGCTAGAATGAAGCAGTATTCTCATTTAACAAGTTTACAAATAGACTGTAAGAATCACTGTCCACATTCTTTTTTCAAAAATATATTTTATTGATATTTTACAGAGAGAAAGGGAGAGAGATAGAGAGCTAGAAACGTCGATGAGAGAGAACCATCGACCAGCTGCCTCTTGTACACCCCCTACCAGGGATGTGCCCGCAATCAATGTACATGCTCTTGCCCAGAATCAAACCTGGGAGCTTTCAGTCCGCAGACCGATGCTCTACCACTGAGCCAAACCAACTTCGGCACTGTCCACATTCTTAAAGAAAACAGAGCAGAAATGGAGCAGAACAGGTGTACGGAGCCAAATGTTTGCATTCTTTCCAAATTCCTATGTTAAAGCCTTGATCCCCAATGTGAAGTTATTAACATGAGGGGCCTTTGGGAGGTGGTTAGGCTCAGATGAGCCATGTGGGTGGGGCTCCTCATGATGAAATTTGTGCCGTTTCATACAGAGACCAGAGAGCTTGCTCCCTCTTTCTCTGCCATGTAAGAACCCAGCAAGGAAAGCCTCACCAGACCCTGAATCCATGGCAACGTAATCTTAGACCCCTCAGCATCCAGAACTGTGAGAAATAAATATTGACTGCCTAAGCTAAACAAGAAGTGGCTTTCTGTTACAGCAATCCCAACTTACTAAGTCAATAGGTGTTGTAAATGCCTAAGCAAGTGAAAGGTGTTTACTTGTTGTGGGGAAAATTAGCCTGTAAGATAGAACTAATTATCCTATTTCATCCAAGCTACAGCATTACCATAAGTGTGGTAAACTCCCATTGGTTTGAGAATCAAGAATTAATATTTAGCTGAAACCGGTTTGACTAAGTGGATAGAGCATTGGCCTGAGGACTGAAAGGTCCCAGGTTCGATTCTGGTCAAGGGCATGTACCTGGCTTGCGAGCACATCCCCAGTAGGAGGCATGCAAGAGGCAGCTGATCAATGACTCTCTCTTATCAGTGTTTCTAACTCTGTATCTCTCTCCATTCCTCTCTGTGAAAAATCAATAAAATATATTTTTTAAAATGAATAAATATTTAACAATAAAGATACATTTCAAAAGATGATAGTCTCGGGGGGTGGGGGTGGGGCATATCTAGGGAGGGATTGGGATGGAAATGGGGGAATAAGAACAATTATGTGAGACCATAATCAATTAAAAAAATAAATTAATTTAAAAAATGAACAGAGAAGCCACATATCAGAAACAAATATTTGCAATACCTATTTTTTACAAAAACTTGTAACCAGAATATATAGAATTTCCAAACTCAATAATAATGTAATAATAACTTTTAAATATATACTTGAGGAACACTTTATAATGGTAAACAAATCAATTCCTCAAGAAATTACAACAAACCTGAATGTGTAAATACACTGCATGAATCTGGATTAGAATGAAAACATATAAGTATCAGTCTTGGGCAACTGATGAAACTTTAATATGAACATGGATGAATTTTAACATTATGCTAAGTGAAAGAAGCCAGTCATAAATGACTACATATTATTCTATTTATATAAAACTAGAGGCCCAGGGCACAAAATTCATGCATTGGTTGGGTCCCTAGAGGTTGCTGGCTGCCAGCCGGGACCTCTCTCCCTTCCATTGGTCAGCCCCACCCCCTGATTGAACTCCCAGACAACTCTCAGTCAAGGTGTCAACTTGCATCCTATGCTTTTATTACATAGGATATGCAAATTGGGCAAATCTGTAAAGACAAAAAGCAGACTAATGTTTTCGTAGGGTTGAGGAAGATGGTTGGATAGAGGATAATAACTACAATGTTAAAAGAATTTTCTCCTCCAGGTGATAGAATCTTCAAAAATTGTGATGATGCTCACACATATCTGTGACTATTCTAGAACATTTGATGTGGTCCCTGAAAAGGGGTGAATAGTATGGTATGTAAATTTTATTCTCAGTAAAGATGTAATTTAAAAAAAGATGATAATCTCCATTTCATTAAATGAATTAAATTTTGAATTAAAATATGTTTAAGTATGAAAAGGTGGTATTGAAAAAATTGCAAGCTATTGATTTAATCTATATTTTAACAAAAAATAAAGTAATAAAACTAACAGGGAACAGAGAGACACTCACTGACCATGTGTGTTTATTTGAGTTCATTTGACCATCATTTGCAGATCTATCATAGAGAGTGAAGGGCAAAAACTACGGTTACTTGTTTCCTCATTGTTATTTTAACTTGGAACAAAAATAGCCCTTAAAATGTATTTTCTCACTGATAAACAGAAGTACAGAAACATTATATTTCTCTTAACTACATCTATAACTTACCTGTTATGTAGCAACGTTCTCTTATTAAAATAATGATAGCAGATGAATGCCAAGAAAATACAGATGATAGAACTAAAACAAGATATTTTTTGGCAAAGGATTTGTGTGAAAATGCATGTGATATATATATCACATGCATTTTCATGCAAATATATATATGCGTGTGTGTGTGTGTGTGTGTGTGTGTGTGTGTGTGTGTGGTGTGTGGCGTGTGTGTGTGTGTGCTTATACATGCATATATTTAAGAATGTTTTAAAAACTGCAAGTGCTAGTTTTCATAATTTTATTTCCCCCCAAATATCTTAGGTGTTCTTTTCTATGTATATAACTTCATTTAAGACTTGATTTGAAAGTTTACCTGAAATTAAATAATTTATTCAAGCATCACAGTAAAGTCTGAATTCTAGTGGGAATGTAAAATGGTTTAGCCTCTGTGGTTAACATAAGGTAGTTCCTCTCAAAATTAAACATAAAACTACCATATGACCCAGAAATTCCACTTGAAGGTGTATACCAAAGTTGAAAGCATAGGTTCAAAGGGATAGATGTATAATGTTTATAGCAGGATCATTCACATTAGCCCAAAGGAGAAAATAATTCAAATCCTCAATGTTGAATGAACAGATAAACCAAAAATCTATCTATACATAAAAGCCTAAGTGACCATTATGACCAGATATCCAGACGACCGGATGACCAGCGGTAGCTATGATGCGCATTGACCACCAGGGGGCAGATACGTGATGTGATGCAGGAGCTGCCCTCTAGTGGTCGTGTGCTCCCACAGCCAACCTCTTGTGGTTCCCCACCCCCCCCTCCAGGCCAGTCAACTCCCAGGCCCCATTGGCCCAATCGGGACTGGGTGAGGTGGGAGCCAATTGACCTCGATTACCAGCCAGGCTGAGGGACCCCACCCGTGCACCAGGCCTCTATTAATATTTAATACAATGGGATATTATTCAGACTTAAAATTAAATTTTGATATATGCTGCAACACCTATGAATTTTGAAAACCTAAAACTAAGTGAAATAAGCCCACATACAAAAAGACATATATTAGATAATCCAAATATGTAAGTTACTCAAAATAATGAAATTCAGAGAGACAGAAGGTAGAGCAGCAGTTATTAGTAATCTGGGATGGTTAGACTGAACAGTTATTTCTTAAAGACAATGCCTATAACAAATAGACAAAATGAACAAAAAGCACATACACATTAGCAGAAGTCACATGCAAATCTCTGTGACTTTAATTGTTGGATCAAGTCAGAGCTCATATTCCCTAATTAATAAGTAGTCTCTTCATGGGGGGGCCTAACTACAATATATTTTTTTTATTATAGGTAATAATCAAAGAAAGCATGCTTTCCTTTGATTTACTAGGATGTTGCTATATATTAATGAATTCTAGAATGCCGTGTGTAGCAGTTCTGTGTTGACGATCAAGGTATGGTTCATCATGTATAGTAGTATATATACCGGTATTATATTTATTCTTTGGCATTAAAATTTGTTTTCTTTTCTTTTTACTATTCAACTATACATTTTTGTTATGTGGCCTTTTCAGATACGCTTTCTTTTTTATTGGATGCATATTTTATATAAGTGTATGCATTTCTCTTTGGCCTACCTTCTACCTTCTTTCTCAATTCATTTCAAAATTGAACATGGAATAAGTTGTGCAGTGTTTTCCATTTATCCTTAGGCCCTCAAAGATAAATTTCACACAGGACTTAGAAAACACTTAAATATATTTTGAATTGATTATAATAAAGAGGCAGATTGGTTAGTAAAATACATTAAAATGGAGAGACTAGTTTTTTTCAGACATCTCTGCTTATATACTAAATAGTGTCACAAAAATTATGACAATTGCCCTTTTGACTAGTAATTTTTAGGTCCAAACACTTCACAATAACACACTTTTAAAGGAAAAAAAAGAGTCTGTCTGTCTACTTCCAAAGTTAATACTGTTTAATAATTATCACTATAAGACACCTACAACAATAATTCAAATACTTTTAACTTAAGCAGATTGAAATTGTAGACACAATCAAAACAGAGAAAAACCTAACACAGTCTGTTCTCTGGTTTCCTCAATTAAAAATTAAAAACACATAAGGAACCTGACCCTTTCTCATCCCTCAGTACCTGGGGTATGGCCTCGTGCCAGGAGAGGCAGTGATGTTTTGGACAGATCCATTAAAGCAATGGTCTGGCCAACCAAAATGGCCCTTTTAATGACCAATTCCTTGAAAACTAAATTACACGTATGGTCCATAAATCTGATGATCTGAAGGAGACATTCATTTCAAACTTAATCATTTGATAAGATTAGAAATGAAAAATTTATATGCATCTCAAAGATATTTCTATTTTATTATACATTTTAGAAATGGTCTCTGTTAACATATACTTGCAGGGGAAATATTGAAAAGAGTTTTTGGAACAGTGATTTAAAGCTTAGTAAGTATAGTTAAACCTTGGTATATTTTAGAATTTTCCCTAAACTAATGCTTTTCCAACATAGAAAGAGTCATTAATTGTATTTCTTCTAGAAAAATGCATTATTTATACTCCCTTTGAGAAGTTCAATTCTAATCATCTCTACCTAACTATATTTCATCAGATTTCTCACATACATCAATTAGTGAAATTGTGAAATATGTGAAATAATTAGTAACTTGTAATTAGAATCTCTAGAATCTTTGGTTTAAAAATAATCACACAATAGCAATAATAATCACAAGAGTTATAATAAGCATAATAGAAATTTAGATGTTAAACATAAAGCTTTCAAAATGCAATATACAATTCACATAAATTTATGTTATTATGTGCTCAAATTCTAAAATTTAATCCTAATCATAAATCCTAGTTATAACCCTAATTTAAGCTGTGGAGAAAGGTCTTAAATTACACAGTGGGCTAATGTAGAAATTTTTAATTACTTAACTTGTTATAAGTTAAATCAACCTATATCTATCATACATTTTAAATTACTTTATGTTATTAAAACAATGACATTAAAATTTAATGGGAGAACTCAGAAGGATGGGGATGAAAAGAGATTCACCGAAGAATTTATATGCATACTTGCATTGCCTAAGGACACAAACAATAGGGAGGTGAAGGCATGGGTAGGGCAGGAACCAGGTAGAGGTCACAAATGGGGCAGGGGCGGGGGGAGGGAGAGGGAAGAGAGGGACATCTGTAATAGTCTCAACAATAAAGAAAGAAATACAAATACAGGGAGAAATAGAGCTAGGTAGAGAGGAGCACACACCTGTAACATGGGAGCAGAAAAGAGCAGTTAAAGTTCTTTAGAAGGAGAATAAATTACTAGAAAGTTACCAAAATATACACCAAGGTCATCTCCTTCCAACAGGACACATTTAAAATAATGCAAGCCTTTCAGTCCATAGTAGAGTCAATTGGAAGACATTCCATGGCCAGTGACAAAGAGTTCCCTAATTAATAAGTTGCCTCTTCATGAGGGGCCTAACTACAAGGTTTTTTATTATAGGTGAGAATTAAAGAAAACATGCTTTAAGCTAAATATATATATATATAATACTGTTTAGTATAACTGGCATTTGATAAGAGAGCTGATTCTAAGTGTTTATTCTCCACACACAAACTTAACTGTGTGAGGTGACAGATAAGTTAGAACAATTTGATTGTGGGAATCATTTTACAATCTATCTAGCTATCAAAATACCACCTGTACACTTTAAACTTATACATTTTTTTAAAATTTATCAATTATACCTCAACAAAGCCAGCAAAAATATCCATAGGATCAGGCTACTGTCCTGTTCAAAACTCCCTAGCAGCCTCTCACAACGTTCTGAGAAAATGCCCAAATCCTGACAATGAACTAAAAAGCCTGGCAAGATGCAGTGACCCTGTGACTTATCGCACTTTATGCCTATTTCCCCTCCCTCCGTCTCCTTCTCTTACAACAAATATCGCCCACTCTTCCATTTCAGAAAAAGTTAAGATGTTCACAACGTCAGAAGATCTGAAGGAACTCACCTTTAATGAGCAAGAACTGAGACACAGGCCCCTAACTTAATCCAAAATCCAAGTAAACATTTAAATTTATTTGGAATGTAGTTAAAAAGTTCTCTAATTATAAAAGATAAACAGGGTGGAAAATGACTTGCATCCTAATTTTCATCAAAAGTGCAGACAAGCACTTATTATAATCATACTCAGATTCCAACCTGCACATTTAGGTTATACATAGTACATGGCAAATTGGATAAACAGGTTTATTTATGTTTAAAATGAGCAAATACCACAACAGCCTGTGCCGAAGTTCCCCAGAAATAGTCCCAAGCCAGGAAAGATCTGCCTGGCTCCTCTCTGACGTGTAGGTGATGGAGAGGGGAGGAGTCGGGGGTCCTCACAGGTAGGTACCATCATGGTCAATTAATTTATGTGACAAAACATAGCGGCTAGATAGCACATTAGAAAAAGAGAAGTTAACAAGCCGTATACCACACTGATTGGAACGTACAACTATGTCCTTGTGCTCCAGAATTTCTATTAAGAAACAGAAATAGTCCAGCGGGCATGGCTCAACTTAGTAGTTGAGCATGAACCTATAAACCAAGAGGTCACAGGTCAATTCCAGGTCAGGGCACAAGCCCAGAATGCAGGCTCTATCTCTGAGACGTGGGGCATGCAGGAGGCAGCCAATGAATGATTCCTACTCATCACTGATATTTCTCTCTCTCTCTTCCTTTCCCCTACTTTCTGAAATCAATAAAAATATACTTAAAAATGGAAATATTACAACACAATTATAACACACCACCCTATTTGCTAACAAAGTTTTTTTAAAATGATTCAAAATCATTTAGTTTATCAAAGATACAGGAAAAGTGGTGTTCTATAGATAAGCTCACTTTCAAGGTATTCAAAGTTTTAGGTAAGATAAGATTTTGAGGGGAAGATATAAAGAATATGAAACCAAGAATGCAAGAATGGTGAGAACAAGGTTTGCCAGACAATTTCCAGCATACATCATTAACCAGGAATGAACACTATTTCATTTATTATACAAACAGACCTCCAACATGAGGGTAGATGTGAGATAACCCATGTTTTACTGTTTTGGGTATCACCACACACTTATAAAAGAATAATTTTCTTAAGCGCTATGGCTTTTCCACAAGCAGAGCCTAGAAGTGTAGGGCTAGGAGGAAAACATTTCAGCCACTTTTAAAAAAATACTTCATTGTACTCATGCTGAACTCTTTCCTTCTGTCTGTGGCAGAAGCAGAGCCCATTCTCCCCAGGAGTTCCGGACGGAGAGCACATCCTACGATGTGCTGCACAGTACCGCCCCTGGTGCCACCGCCCTGTCTTCAACAGGCTGCCCCATGGTGCCAGGCAGGCTGCCTGGGCACTGGGATGTGTGATAGGATCTGTGAAGGTCAGATGTCTGATCCAGAAGCCGTGCTGCATGCTCCAGTGTGCTTGCAGGTAAGTATGAAGCATGAGGATGGAGGCCTGGGAAATGTGTGCTGGGGGAGAAGGAAATGCCATATACAGAAGGAAAGGTAAGTCCCTGTGAGTAAGGTGCAGCAATCATCATGACTATCAAGGGCCTAATTTGAGCAGAATGCCTCACCTCCAGAGTCTATACCGAGCTGTCTGTTCAGCGCTGGTGGCAGCCAGTGCGGCCCCAGGGAGAGGGAGCTCTGTGGGGTGAGCCCATGGACAGTTTTAATTCGTCACGATGGCCTCCAATGGCGGGGTCACTGGCCAGGCATCGGGGCGAATGTCATGCTCAGGTTGCTCACATCATGAAAAGGTCTCCTCTGCGTTATGCTATGTTGGTGAGAATTCATTTGGGACCCAAGTATTTCAGAATTCTAGACCTCTTTTGAAGATTTCCTTAACAGAATTCCTCATCCAGCTTCTCTGTCACAAATGCTCTATCAGACAAAGGTGCCTGCAGTGCCCCTTCTAATCCTCTGAACAGCCGGTGGGTTGTGGGTTGCTATATAACAGGCCATTTCTTCTTCCAAGAAACTGGCTAGGGGACTACACTACTTGAAGTTCTAGCCAATGGGAGGAGGCCCAGGCATTACTGAGCGTTACGGACATGCCTGAGCTCAGCTGTGATGCTATAAGTGTGAACGTGTTGGCCTGCAGTGTCTACTTCTCTGTACAACAGACTCATTTAAAAACTACTTATACCTGTGCTAGCGATAAGGAACTGCTCAAAGGGGATAACAAGGTCCATACATAGGATGGGTGCTTTTAGGAAATGCTTCAGTCTAGTTCCCAGGGATAAGGATTCCCTTGTGGATTAAACTCCACATAGGCATGTGGACATAGGCATGTGAGGTGACACAGGTCTGGTGTCCAAAGATGAGGGTTTCAGTCTATCACAGAGGTGAATCAGAAGAACAGCCATTTGATACACCATTTGTTCTAAAACTTGTGCATTACTAAATTGGTGCTACCTGGAATAATACCCAAAGAACACTGGCTTATAGATGGCAGTGGATGCAAAAATTACTCTTAGAGATGGTGGGGTGCTTGTTTCAGAACAGTCCTCCTCACCAGCACAACTTAGAGATGAGAATGAAAACGAAATGCACTTGCTCGGAGGCCCTTGAAGAGCAAGCTTGGACCTGTGGGGGCAGGATGTTAATGAGATGAAACACCAAGCTCTCAGAGTTCAACAGTTGGTAAGACATTTATTGATTTGGAAGCCATTGGTAGGAGGACGGGACATTTAGGAGGTTCAAAGTGCTGGAGGTGAAAACAGGAAATTGGATTAAGGAGTCACTCCAGAGAAGGGAACATTGTAAGTACTCCAGGCTCTCCTTTGAAGATTCAAAGGCTCTGGCGGAAGAGTAAGGGCAAGCTATAAATAAATACGGCTCTTAAAGCAATGAAACCCCACTCCAAATAAGCTCAATATCTGATTGGATTAAGATAACTATCCCTTGGAAACTGTCAACCAGAAGCAAACGTTAATCCTCTCAAGTGGAAAATAATACAAAAAGAGCTTTAAGTTATTTAGACTTTTTTTCCTTATACAGACTCTGTCAATAAAAAAACAAAGGCATGCAAAATGATTATGGGGATACAGTAATTAAGTGGAAATTGAGAGAAAAGACAAGCAATGGAAGAAGATACACAGAAGTTTTAGATATTGAACTTCAAAATTAATTTGATTAATATTTGCAAGAAAATAAATAATTTGATGAATTTTAGGAGTAAACTGGGAATCAGCTAAAAAAAAATAAATAAAAGGCAATTCTAGGTCTACAATGGCCAAAATTAAGAAACAAATACTTGAGTTTAACAACAAATAAAGTAGAAGCACTAAAAGAAAAAAAAATAAATAAAATAAGGTAAGTATCAGGTGGGATAGTGAGAGGTCCTAAGACGTGCACTTAGAATCAGAAAGGAAAGGAGAGTGTGGATGGAACACACACAGTGTTTGAAATTTAAATATTGAGATTCTCCATCCACAGATTAAAACAATCAAACTGCATCAAAAATTCTCAGGAAATACAAAGACCCAAAATTAGTCAAGAAGATCTTGAAAAAAAGGAAAAAGGATGATAAGCGTCTTATAATATTTTTCATCTCCAACTTATATTAAAGTTACAGTAATAGCTCTAGCTATGTAACACATTATCTTTTTATATAGCAGCAATACATAAAATAACATAGTATTAAAAACTATATTGACAAGTGGAACAACAGAGACTATTCAAAAACAAGTCAATATGTAAGCTTGCCCTTGAATAGAATAGTATGGTCTCTCCAAGAAAAGGTCCAGAGCCCATTGAACATCCATATGGCAGCAAAAATATCATCGTCCTGAGCACACGGCACATCAAAACCCTTATCTCCTGACATTTCCAAACTGCAATCCCAAGTGGACTGTACATTCAAGAGTAGATTTAAAAAATAACAAGGATTGTGGAAGGTTACAAAAAGCTGGACTATATAAAAATGTTCTGTTAAACACGCAGACACATTATCCATTAAGAACCAGACTGGTTGTTTGCAGCAAGCGTACAAGAATCCCAGGCAGTTAGGAACACAGACCCTAGTCTCGGCAGGTCAAGTAAATCCTTTAAGATCAACACAATAAAAATAAAATCAAATACAGATGATTAAACTTTTAAGCACTTTTCTCAATAACAGATGGCTGATGCTTAATTAACAGAAAATTGGGATGATTAAAATGACCAAATTGAGCATGTCCTAATGCCAGCTAGTTCTGTGACTACCTTCTCGACTTAAGTTCTAAGAGAACAGAACAAGGCAAGCTAATTGATTTTCTAACTGTGTAATCTTGGTTACAATATTTTAGTACTACTTGCTTCCCTTTCCAAGAAAATGAAGGCAACATCTTCTTTTCAATGCTGATGTGAATACTTACTGAGAGAAATCTTTGCAAAGAGCCATGCTGGATCTTCAAGAAGAGATTTGTTTCCCTATTCCCTTTCCTTTTCTTTCAAACAGAAATGGCAGGCCTTGTAATACAAACTTTTTTTTTTTTTGACATGACTATGCATATTTATATTTTTTCCCTTCATTATAATTTCATGACAAAATAATTAATGAGCAACTTCCATACAAACATTGGGGGGATGCAATGATGAGCAAAACCAAACCTACAAAGGCCCGTTGTCATGGAGATTGCACATGGAAATACTCCACTAATATTTTGGCTTATACTTTTATCTTTATAATTGATATCATTTGAATTACATTTCCTCTCAATACAGCATCTTTATTCTCAGAAAAGCTACACATCATAAAACTAAAATCAGTGGGGTTTTGCCTAGTTTGAATTGTTAAGCCACTTGTGTATTGATATTATTCATTTTTATCAGTAGTATCATATACAGACCTAGAACTTACAAAGATTATAGGCCTAAATGTTAAATTTTGATCTCTAATTTAAGCAAAAAGTTATATTAAACAAAATAATGGAGTGAAATGTTCTGGGACATGATCTGAGGCAGATAGAAAGCTTAGGTAATGCTTCTGAGATTAATTGCATAGTGAACTCATTGACTTATTGTAATATATTATTTTCATGTCAAAACCCTTGATAAATTTAATTACCTAAAGATGTTTGATGCTGGTAAAAGTATTCCAAGGAAAATAAATAAAAAACCATAACAATATTCTATATTGTTTTCTCTGTAACACACTTCAAAAGGTAAAATAGAGTGTAACTAAGTATGACAGGCTTTCTATATACCTATGTTGTAGGTATATATACATTCTAGTGTCCAGATGCACGGATTTGTGCACATTGAAAGAGAATTAATTAGAAGAAATATTTTAATACCGCTATTTGTGTCTTGCTAATGAAAAGAAAATAGGATTCCACCAAATCTCCTATGTACTTATTCCAGGACTTCTGTGAGGATTAAATGAGATGAAACATGGGAAAACACTTCATAAACAATTAATTAAACTGTAAAATGTTTTTACCTGGCTATAAAGCAAGTCAGGCTACTGGGCTGAAGAAATGTCAATGATGCTAATTGCTAGGGAGAGGAAGCCAGGAGTTGCTATGTGACATCATCACCTGGCACCCACAGCCACCGTTTCTGGGCTGGGCTGGGCTGTGGCCACATTTTGCACCATGGGGTCTTGGCAGCATTGGCTGTGATTTGGTAGGGTGTCACTCTGGGATGGTGGCAGGGCCTGTGTCCCACTTGGGGGAAGTTGAGTATTGGTTTGTCAGCACCAGGTCCTCAGTGTTATTTATTTTTAAATGGCCAGTGCACATCATGATAGCTACTGTGTTGAGTGTCTGCCCCCTGGTGGGCAGTGTGCATCATAGCTACCGGTCAGACAAACGAACACTTCGTCTTTTATATATAGTACTGGAGACCTGGTGCACAAAACTTGTGCACTTAGGCGAGGCCTCCCTCAGCCCGGCCCAGGCCCTCTTATAGTCTGGGAGCCCTTGGGGATGTCTAACTGATGGCTTAGGCCCGTTTCCCAGCTGCCATGGAGGCAGGAGAGGCTCCCACCGCCACTGTTGCATTTGCCAGCTGTGAACCCAGCTTCTGGCTGAGTGGCACCACCCCTGTGGGAGTGCACTGACCACCAGGGGTAGCTCCTGCATTGAGCATCTGCCCCCTGATGGTCATTGTATATCATGGCGACTGTTGTTCTTCCGTTTGGTCGATTTGAATATTAGCCTTTTATTATATGGGGTAATTAAATAAATCGGGCTCTTCATACTTAACAGTTGTTAGCTTCAGAATGCCTAGGATGAACCACGATTTACTGAGTTAATCACTCTGTCTCTCAGCAAACAATGGGCCTTCTAAAACTGTACTTGTGTTCATAGTAAACAATTCTTAATGACGCATTTGACACAGAGAACAAATGATTTACTCTTCGAAATGAAATGGGTTATAAACTATGACGTCTACATTTCAGATAGCAGTGTCCATGAAATGATATGAACAGTATTACGTTTAAATGTCTTTGATAATAAAAATGTAATCAGTGCAGCATTTATGTATCTTCATATTGATCTTATTATCATGAATTCCCCTGGAGATATGTGAAGAACAGCTTGTGAGTCAAAACTCCACTGCTGCCCTGGCTGCCGGGGTCGCTAAACTGCTCTGCTAGTTCACACACAGCTTTTAACCATATGAATTCTTCACAGCGGGCATGCCCTCCCCATGGCACCTACATATGCCGTGCCACAGGTGTGCCCGTGCTGTCATCACATCGTTTTTGTTGCTGTTTTTTGTTTTATTTGGAATTTTTGCATCACAGCATTTTGAACTGGCCTGCCTTTCCAACTGTAAGCTACTAATCTTTGGTTGTCCTATGACTAAACTTTCTGATGTTCCAAAAAATTGCTTTTGTTTTGTTTCTTTCTATTTCTACAGCTTTTCCTTCTTGGTGAGTTGGAGCAACTTCCTTTGCAGTTTTTCAAATGTTATGTATAAGCAGAACATGGAGCATACTATGTGACCCCAGGCTGAAGGTTTTGCTAGTCAACTTCATATTTACTGACTTGAGATTTAAGTCAAGATAGGATGATGGCAAGATGAGCAAAAAGAAGAGTCCAATTTTTTTTTTCTTAGAAGGAATTATTATTTCCTTACAAGCACATTACTTTTGCTTGTAAGGAAATAATATGAGTAGAAGGATGTATTTGGATACTAAGTACTCCAAAGGGGAGTCTGTGGTTTTGGGGTGAATGAGCACTAAGTCTCTATTCTCACTTGGTTTTGTGCTCAACTGAGAATGGCTGGGTGGAATGGCACAGATTAATGGTCTCTTACTGCTGTATTTTATGAATGAATTATTTTAATTGCAAACTATTAATGACATTTGGGAAGCACAAGAAAGTGGAAATAGTCTCTTAATTTTGAATACGTGGGTGATGGGAACAGGCTGGTTTCAGTACTGGAGTGCTGAGTCACCAGCTCTTCAAATTCAGAGGTGCAATGTTAGCGATACCTATATAAATAACCCCTTTATTAACTGGGAAGGAGCAAAGAGAATGTACAGTACACTCATACCCAGAAAAGTCTGGGAACAGGTCATTGGCCAGAGAAGGCGTGGCCACTGCAAGGGCAGGAAGATTTGATTTTATTGTTGTTGAAGATTTGATAATTAATCTAAACAAAGAAGTCATCTCTCTGGTTGCTCTTTCATGCTGGGTACCTGGCTGTCTTGTTGCAGGGGGCTCTCCAGAGGCCACATGGACCCCACACAATGGACTGATGGACTGCACTAGCCTAGTGCTAAACTGGACCCAGTTCCACCTGGAATGAAAGCTCTGGCCCCTGGCTCTGTTTATTTTCTTTTCTTCTTCTTCTTCTTTTTTAAATATATATACACACACACACACACACACACACACACACACACACACATATATATATATATATATATACACACACATATATATATATATATATATATATATATATATATATATATATAATTGATTTTTTTTTACAGGGAGGAAAGGAGAGGAATAGAGAGTTAGAAATATTGATGAGAAAGAATCATTGATAAGCTGCCTCTTGTACACCTACCACTGGGGATGTGCCCGCAACCAAGGTACATGCCCTTAATTGGACTCGAACCTGGGACCCTGTAGTCTGCAGGCCGAGGCTCTATCCTCTGAGCCAAACCGGTTTTGGCGGGCTCTGTTTCTTGCTCCATTGAATACTCAGGGGCACCTCTCCCAGCATGGGACTAAGGGAGATGGGACTTGCAAACCCCGGAGTGTAATGCCACGCAAATAAACACCACCCTTCCTCCCATGTGAGTCTCTGAGAATTCTTTCTCTCAAGGTATTCGAGGACTGGGCCCCCAGCTTTTCCACCTGCAGACACCCCATTTTCACCGGTAACAGTAGTAATAGTGGAGGTAGGAAAATACTTGCCATCTCTACTAGAAAGACGCCTTTTTAGAACTCAGTCATCTAGCTGTGACCACCTGACTCCAGGTCATTCCGGAAGGGGATTAAAGAATGCAATAATCTCTAATCACCTAATTCCCAGGTTAAATCCTTCTCTGCTGGGATATAGAGAATGAGTTCTGATTTCTTTGTAGCGCATTAACTTACAAAAAGGCTCAGCATGTTTTGCAGAAAAGAGTATAACAAAAATAGGACAATGTACAAATGAAGCGGTTATTTTTAAGACACATTTGAGAGATGTCAGCAAAATGGTAGGACAGGATGCTCCAGGCCCTCACTCCTCCAGGGAACCACCGATTTAACAACCATGTCCAGGCAGCATGGCCTTGTGGGAACTCTGGAGTATCGGCAGATTTCTCAGTAAAAATCTTTCAGGCCGGGGGGTTTGAGGTGATATATTCAGAGTAGTAAAAAGAAAACTGCCAAAAAATAAAATAAAAATAAGACTGTAGCTGGCAAAACAATCTTTTAAAACTCAAGGAGAAATAAAACTTTCTTAGAAAGAAAAGCTGAGGATGTTCATCACCATGTAACCGTCCTGAAAGAGGTACTAAAGGGACTCCTTCACATTGAAATGAAAGGATGTTAGGCAGTGACAGGAAAACATACAAAATGCAAAGTTCTCTGGTAAAGGTTAATAAATAGACACTATACAATTTAGTTGTATTGTAATGTTATACTTCTGTAATTAAATTTATTTTAAAAAATCACTGTTAATTCAGGTATAGATTTAATAAACTAATATGGCATTACTATAGATGCCACAGAAATAAAAGGAATTATGAGAACACTATGAACCTTTATACAGAAACAAACTGGGTAAACTAGAAAAAATAGATAAACTCCTAGAAACATACAACCTACCAAGGCTTACAATTTGGAAAAAATCTGAACATCCCAATAACTAGTAGGGAAATTGGAGACATAATCAACATCTCACAATGAAGAATAGCCTGGGACCAGATGACTTCACTGGAGAATATAACAAACGTTTAAAGAAAATTTTGCACCAATCCTCTTCAAACACTTCTAAAAAAGTGAAATGAAAGAAATGCACTCAGATTTATTCTATTAATCCAGCATTATCCTGATAAAAAAAAAAAAGGCAAGACAAAGATACTACAGAAAACAAACAAACAAAACTACAGATCATATCCCTGATGGATATTGATTTTTTTAAAAAAATCTAACAGTCCTAGGGAACTATATTCAACAGTGCATTAAAAAGAATACACACCATGAGTCTGTGGATTTCTTCCTTTAATACAAGTAACTTTTCAACATATAAAAGCCAGTTAACA